GAGTTAAATAACAGAACATTTAATTTTCCCCCAAAAATGAATGAAAGTTTACTGTACTAAGCTACGCACCCTGTAAAACCAAACTATACTTGGTACCCGCTTACATGTTGGCACTCCTCCCCAAAATTTGGTCGTTATATGGCTATTTTAGATGATGTGACGGACGGACAGACCGTCAGACAAATGGAAGAATGTTATATATAGATAAAGGAGATGAAGCAAATATTAAACAACTGTCTAGAAATTCATTAGAAATAATTTTACTATAGAATTCATTAAAATTATTTTCGGACTAAATTCATCAAACATTCATTCAGTGTTATGGCTACATAAAAATAGAAGCATCACATATTAAAAGTATATATTCTTTTATGTACCGTGTCTCTCCTAGACGTTGGTGCTCATGGTTATCCAGAACTTCCTTTCCTTTGTAGAAAAGGATATATATGGCAATTCATTGGAAATGGTTTTACTATAGCCATGCAATTAATTATTACACTGAAGAAATCCATCAAAATTTTCATTGACTCTTAAGGATTACGTATAGTTTGACAAAGCGTTTATAGAAATTCATTGGAAATGAGCTTACTATAGAAATGTGTTAGAATTAATCATTACATACAACTCTCCAAATGTCCGTTTGCTGTAATGAATATATAAAGTGTTGCCGAGGAAATCGCATAATCATTTATAGAAATGCAATGGAAATTATTTTCTATGTATTAGAATTATTTATTAAACACATTCATCCAAATTTTCGTTTGCTGTAATAATTATATAAAGTGTTGCCGAGCAAATAGCATAATCATTTATAGAAATACAATGGAAATTATTTTCTATGTATTAGAATTATTTATTAAACACATTCATCCAAATTTTCGTTTGCTGTAATAATTATATAAAGTGTTGCCGAGCAAATAGCATAATCATTTATAGAAATACAATGGAAATTATTTTCTATGTATTAGAATTATTTATTAAACATTCATCCAAATTTTCGTTTATCTAATAATTATATAAAGTGTTGCCGAGCAAATAGCATAATCATTTATAGAAATACAATGGAAATTATTTTCTATGTATTAGAATTATTTATTAAACACATTCATCCAAATTTTCGTTTGCTGTAATAATTATATAAAGTGTTGCCGAGCAAATAGCATAATCATTTATAGAAATACAATGGAAATTATTTTCTATGTATTAAATTATTTATTAAACACATTCATCCAAATTTTCGTTTGCTGTAATAATTATATAAAGTGTTGCTGAGCAAATAGCATAATCATTTATAGAAATACAATGGAAATTTATTTTCTATGTATTAGAATTATTTATAAACACATTCATCCAAATTTTCGTTTGCTGTAATAATTATATAAAGTGTTGGAAAATAGCAAATCATTTATAAAATCATTTATTTTCTATGTATTAGAAAATACAATCAAATTTTCGTTTGCTGTAAATTATTTTTTATAGCAAATAGTATTCATTTATAGAAATACAATGGAAATTATTTTCTATGTATTATTTTATTAAACACATTCATCCTATCTTTCATTCACACTATTGACTACATATAGTATAAAACAGAAAATATTAAAGCATGGATAGATTTTATTGATTAATCATGCGATTGATGTCAGCGAGGCTTAATGTTTAACGATTTGGAGTACAAAACTGCCGCTGCAAAACACCAGGCAACTTTTCTATGATTTCAATAACAAGTTGCGTCTATAAGCTGGAGTCGTTACACTCAATGCAAGTTAAAATACATCCGGCAACATACCCTTTGATCGGAAGCATGGAATCGCCATATTAATTACAGTTGTTCCCAGGTCTACCCTGATCCGGGTGGTAGCAACTGTTAGGATCACAAACATAGGTAAATAGTTAACTACCAAACTGGGGTCAAAACATTATAAAAGTATAGAAATATTTTTGTAGTAAAAATACTAACAATACATTTTCAAAAAGAAAATTATTGACACCAACACATTTGACAAAAAAAATGTTTTTTACAAAAACACGTCAATGAAACGAGATTTAAAAACTGATTTCTTTCAAAGAATATGCATTTTATTCATACATTTTTTTTTAAATCGGTATCGCCTCATGCAGGGCAGTAAAGCCACTAAAAAGTAAGGGGTTACAGAGTGTGGAGGAATTAGGAACAGAAACATTAATAATGAATGCGAAGAGAAAACAGTAAATAGCGTTTTACATTTCCTTTAAATCTTTGCAGATTAAGGTTGGCTGGATAACACGGAGCCGGAAGAGAGTTCCACAAGTGAGAAGTGCGAGAAAATAAGATGTTGCATAGAATTTACTGTAAATTGATGAAATTTCGACGTCAATCTAGTATCGTGTTCCAATTTTTAAAATTCTACGTTCCATAGCGAAGAGCTAATCGGAAGAAGTACCCTGAAATTATTTATAGATCAGGCACAGGAAGGCAACCATACGGCGGTGGCTAATTGACTGAAGCCGAGTCGCCAGATCAGGACCAATAATATTGCTGATTCCTCTTTGCGTTTTATCAAGGAGCTCCAGGTAAATAGCAGGGGCGCCAGACCATATGCGGCAGCAATATTCTAAGCATGGACGAATGGTAGACTTATAGATATGTAAGATAGATTCCAGAGAGAAAAACTATCTTGCACGACACAGTGAACCGATTTTCTTGGCTGATAACTTAGCAATGGATTCAATATAATATTTCCATTTCATATCAGCAGAGAACGTTATCCCAAGAAAGCACAACGAGTCACTTTCCTAAAGGTTAGCATCAGCCATGCTGATGGAAAGAAGAATGGGTTCTCTCAGATGATTAATGGGGAGAAGTTTAGATTTGGAGGCGTTAATATTAACAAGCCATCTTTTGCCCCAAGTTAACGACCTATTCTAAAAATCTTGTCAGCATTAAATAACCCTATGTTTTTGATGCCGTAAAACAAAATAGTATAAACCAAACTCCAACAGTCAATTGGTTTTGAATTCTGTATTTTATTATTAGACTGGTTGCCCAATGAGTTTAGAGTGTCAGCTCACCATTCTACGTAACCCTGATCGGATTGGAGAACAGCAATAAACTCATGCTTTTCCCAAAGGCATTTGGTCGAAAGTGAATAAATTTGAATTCGGGCTTCGCTGCGGATATTATACCAAATAGTATATACTATATGGCTGAAATATTATGAGTGCACCCATTCAGAATATCAGTATATCCCACAAAACGTGACTGGCTTCTCGCTCTTCTGTCACTGTTTTCAGGCTAAACGTTCAGACGAGATACATATTCCAGGGATTGAACCAGCAATCCGTACCTGAACAATAACATATGCTAAACCACTATATTCAGTATGTGGCCGTCTTGAAAGATATTAATGGTATTTTTGGAGAGTTCATAGTCAATCTCAAATCGTTCGAACATTTCCTTATTAAAGACGAGCTGGAGTCGTTAACAAATGATTTCATTAGTTATTTTTTCCGTGTTTCATATTCGGTTATTTTGTTTCTCTTACAGTAAACTCAGCTGACCTTTGTCTCCTATTTAGAGACCAGAATATTTAGAGCGATCTGAAGATTGTCACATCTAAAGAATGACTTGATAATGAAGGAGATTCCGTGACCTCTTGAAGAGAGAAGTAATGCCGAGCAGGTCGACACTGACGTGGACATTGTCACAATCCTGCCATAGCCAGATAAAAAAAAAACTGACAAAGACGATTTGAATGAAAAGGAAATGGAAACTATTTTTACTGTAGAAGTATGTGGGATTTTAGAAGTATCTGGTAACAAAGGAGAAGAGATTACAATATCTGGAATAAACTTTATTCTGGTGTGGTAGGCTCGTCAGTTTTGTTGATTTGTCGGAATACAAAGGAAAGTAACTGAAAACATTGAATCAAAGCAGAGAAAAACTTTTGCTTTTATATTAACAATGAACGAAAAAAATACCAAATTCTGTGAACCTACATCATTGTAGTTATCGAGTTATCTATGTTTTGGTTTGGTTTGGTTTGTTTTCGTTTCGTTTCGGTTCGTTTCGTTTCGTTTCGTTTGAGGCCTATCAATCTCAATGGGTTATTTAATGCCAGCAAAATTTTTATTGCTGATAATACAGTTTTTTTTTTTCAAAAATGTATTGCTATTAATATTTTTTTCCTTCAGAAATCCATTTCTAGTAATATATTTTCCTTTAAAAAAATATTTCCCGTAATATTTTTTCTTTCAAAAAACTGTTTCTGGTAACATTTTTTCATTCAAAAAAATGTATTTCTGCTAATATTTGTTCATCAAAAATTCTCTTTCTGTTGATATTTTTTGTCGGTTCCACAAAACAGCTTGTTCGTGGGAAGAAAGTTTCGAGTAGAACTGACATCTCACAAATGGGGTATAAATGGTGGTTTTTGGCTAGAATGTGCTTGGCATGGCCAGTCTTAGTTATGAATGTTAGTACGGAATATACTTCGTCTGAATATTTTGTATGGTAATAGCAATAGAACAGAGTGCGTCTTGCAACATCTCGTCTGGTGGGAAAGCAGTGAAATAAAATTCGAATCAAAGAAAATCGGATAATCTCAATCCGTTTAAGTTGTTTTGAACTGATTTATCAATGATTGACATTCGATCAGTTTGCTTCTTAAAAAGAAAACGGCTGTAAGTGTCGGGAGATATTTTGTGCTTGTGAATGAGTCTGTACGCATGCGTTAAGAAAGTTTTTTTTTTCTTTTTGTTTTTTAGCTTTTACATATTGCCTCGTTTCGTTTCTTTTGATTTTGACGCGGCTTACAGGATAAGCAAAACGAAGAGACAGCATATTCTAAATCCGATTGGATTTGATATGCCATCGGAGAAACAGAATATATATATATATATATATATATATATATATATATATATATATATATATAGTTTCGCAGACTGAGTGCTAGTGTTGATAAAATAGTACTTAATGTAAAATAACAGAGCTAATAAATTGCAAATAATAAATATACATTTTTTTCACGTAGATCTAGACGTAGATAGATAGATAGATAGATAGATAGATATAGATATGATAGATACGAACAGGCAGTGATAGATAGATAGATAGATAGATAGATAGATAGATAGATAGATAGATACGATACGAACAGATAGCAGATGATAGATAGATAGATAGATAGATAGATAGATAGATAGAACAGATATAGATAGATAGATAGATAGATACGAACAGTGATAGATAGATAGATAGATAGATAGATAGATAGATAGATGAATGATAGATAGATAGATAGATGAATACGAACAGGCAGTGATAGATAGATAGATAGATGAATAGATAGATAGATAGATAGAACAGATAGATAGATGGATAGATATGGATACAGGATAGATAGATAGATAGATAGATAGATAGATAGATAGATAGATAGATAGATAGATAGATAGATAGATAGATACGAACAGGCAGTGATAGATAGATAGATAGATAGATAGATAGATAGATAGATAGATAGATAGATAGATAGATACGAACAGGCAGTGATAGATAGATAGATAGATAGATACGAACAGGCAGTGATAGATAGATAGATAGATACGAACAGGCAGTGATAGATAGATAGATAGATACGAACAGGCAGTGATAGATAGATAGATAGATAGATAGATAGATAGATAGATAGATAGATAGATAGATACGAACAGGCAGTGATAGATAGATCTAAACAGACTGAGATAGATTTCTTGATTGATCGACTTCTTCGTTTTCTATAACTTATCAGTCATATGCGTTGTATTTAAAGCCAGAAAATATCTTTAGATTGTAAGAATCCATTTTTTTTTATTTTGGAGATAATACGGAATTAGTTATACAAGTCTCAATTATTAGAAGGCTAAGGAAACAGTAGTTATATAATGGCAGACGATATATTATTTGTTGGTTGATTCGTTTTCTACCGATTATCAACCCTTTACAGGCGATTTAAAGCCAGGACAATATTTTTAGTCTGTAAGAATTTTTTAGATAATGATGTTTTAGCGAAACAAGTCCTACTAAGTATGCCATAGCTGACGAGAAAAAGATATGGATTCATACCTTCTTCCAAGTGTATTTGTGCATAAGTGATTTAAAGAACCTAACTGGAATTGGAACTCGGCTCTCCGATGAACAATTCCGACCAATTCAACGTGAAGTGGCCGTAAGCCTTCATGGAACTGAATCCATCCCTTGGACTTGGGGCTACCATGAGGGATTGATCTGCTTATTTGGCGGATAGAACCCTTCTTAATATGTGAGCAGAGTGTGTAAAGTGCTCTCTCGAGTAGTTTGTATCATCTCTCAGTTGCGTCTCTGTCTTTGGACAGAGTGCCCTCAGGGGCGGCTCCGTCAAAGGACAGAGTCGCAACTGAGGAAAATTATACTGAGAGGTGCCTGGCCCTTGGAACAGCTACCCGAGGCATCGCCCTCTCATTGCACCAGAGAAAGGGATCGGTGCTCGCACCGACGTAGCGCAACCGACGGTTGCGAGAGCTGCGGGTAATTTTTGTTCCTAGCCCGGGTGTACGCGCTCGGGCTTTCCGCATTAAACTGAGCTTGTCTACCAACCTGATCTCGTGAGGGGTTGAGTAAATACAAATATATGAGCAGAGTCAAGGTGTATTATCTTCTGAGATTCTTGTATCTTGATGTTAATAGGGATTTGTGTTGGTGAGAAGTGCGAGAAAAGACACTGTTAGCATAGAATTTACGGCTGCATCTAGCCAGCTCAACGGTAAATTTGTGAGACCTCGTTGCTAATCTGGTAAATTCGAAGAGTCTAGGCACCATAACGAAGAACTATATTTATTTTGTATGAAAATACAAATATGTGGCACATGGCCAAAAGGGCCCAAAAGGACGGCTGATCATCTCTCTTATAATGGAACTTAGCAAGCGACAATCCCTGAGTCAAATATACCAAAATATTTCTTACATCTGAACAACAAATTTATACATATTATTTTTACTACATCCACCATAATACCTCAGAATCTCTATGTAGTCCTGTCGAGTAACCGTATGTACAGTTTTTGTCTGTGGGTGTGTTGGGTATAAGAGAACAATTTAAAAAAATTTAAACCCCAATGTGTATAATACCGAGCTCATCCTAACAATTACCATAAAAGTATTTATAGAAAAAACAAATTGAGGTAAACTTACGGCAGTGGGAAAGTGATGCCAGATCAAGTCCAATAATACTGCTGATTCTTCTTTGGGTTTTATTATTATTATTATTATTATTATGAGAATTTTTACATCGCTCGGATGAAACAAACATCGACTGTCTAATTCCTGTTTAAATTTCTGGTATGGAGCTTTATCATTATTATAATCAGCAGCAAGTTTAGGTTTAAGGCTCCAAGTTCTCCACAGAGAATACTTTTCTACTGGATTAAACTATTGCTTCATTAATTTGCTGGCATAGTCATTTTGGGTTCAGTCCCCGGACAAGGCAGTGCGTGATTTGAAAAGGTTGAATTCCTTTTCTCCTTGTTTTTCTTTTTCGAAAGCCATCTTGTCGCAAAACTTATCTTCTTCCTCTTCAAGTAATCCTCCGTTTTAAGAGTCAAATAACCATAGATCATTTTTTTTTACAGTGAAGTTCACCCTGTAGAAAGCCCAAGAGAAACTCGATATAAAAGGATACACAGTTTATCCGGATATGTGGGGAAGATAATAGTTAATCCTGTACGAGAACAAAAAGATTATATTGATCGGGAAAGCATCTTCATAGGAGTCGATTGCACAGAGCAGCGGTTCGTGGAAAAAAACCCTGCTCAGGTGGAATTTAAATCTCACTAATGGGATACGAAGGGAATGAGAGTTGTTCGCTACAAAGTGCGTAGAATGGTGGATCTTACCCGTGAATGTTAGAACTGGTGCAACTAAGGAATGTCATTCAACCTGAACACTTTCCATGGAAATAACGATAGGACAGCGAGAGGCTTGCGACGTTTCGTCTGTGAAGAAAGGGGTTGTAGGGTGGAAAATAATTTGTCACCCACAAGGACGTGTAGATGCTTTTGGACTCTATCGCTAGTGGAAAGTGAAGATTGTGCAGCTCTTACTCAAATATGACAACAGTACTCCATTTTCAGCCTGATCTGCCTCTTGTAAAGGTAGAGGATAGCATGAGGAGTCAGGTACTACAGAACAGCGGTTCACGGGAAGAAGATATTTGAGTGGAACTTATATCTCACCAATGGGATACGAAGGGGAGGAGGGTAGTTCGCTACAATGTTCGTGTCATGGTGGGTCTTAGATGTGAAGTTTAGAACTGGTGGAACTGACGAATGTCATTCAATCTGAACACTATACATGGAAATAGCGATAGAGCATCGAGAGTCATGTAGCAAAAGAATTTAATTTGTCACCCACATGTACCCGGAGACTCTATCGAAACTAGAACGTGAAGACTTGGCAGCTCCTGTCCATATATGACTGCAGTATTTCATTTTGTGGAAAAATAAGTGAAATTGCCTGAGTTTGATGGGTTGCGTGCAGCCATGGAAGGTGAAGTCTTTGCCATGACATGTTTTTCAAAACGAGGCCGCTCCGAGCACTCTTTTTTTGCACTCTTTTTACCGGAAGAGTTGGAATGCTCAGGTCTGCCACCTTGTTAATTAAGGTCTGCCTTCTCTCCTTTCTCGGGTTATTTTATTTATTTATTTTTTTTGAGAGAGAGAGAGAGGGAGACTTTAAAAGGACGGAGTCTTTCTGCAGGTTCTCTTCTTCTCTCATTATTAATTGGTCCTTGACTGAATGTGGGTCGCGAGACTAGGCGGTGTTTCGCAACACTTACTATACCGGGCCGGTTTCTGATTTAACATTTGAGTCGAAAGGATTTACACATACATAGAAGTGAGAAAAAGAATGTGCTCATAGTGAAAGAAAGTATAAAGATATAAAGGGTTGGTGGAGAGATACAATGCCATAAAATCAGAGTAGTAAAAAAGGATTCTTGGATAGTGGAATTGTCACATTTTTATTTCATAGCCTTGGAGAAGATTTCTCTCAGATTTCACTAACAAACTGAAGCGAAATTCTTTCATAGAGCGTTTGCTTCAAAAATGTTGAAATAACATATAAAAGATTTGGTTTTCTTCTTTTTTAAGATGCTTTTCAGCATTCATTTTTCTACCTAGAGTTTAAATTTGAATAAAATGTCTGTTTCCCTAAAGATGTTATGAACAGACAAAGGTGGTACTCGAGTAAAGGAACAGCAACACGTGAGTAGATGTAAAAAAGAGAGGTTTATTGTAAAAGAGAATACGCTGCTAAAAGATGATTTTTCGCGAAAAAAAGTATAAAAAATACTATAGAAAAATAAGTCAGACTTTGGAGGCACTGGTTTTTGTAATCTTTTTACCGGAAGGTGTGGGATGACCAGATCTGCCACCTTGTTGCTGCCTTTCCTTCCCTTCTCATCTTTTTTTTTTTTTTTTTTTTTTTTTTTTTTTGAGAGGACTTTATCAGAACACGGGTTCTCTTCTTCTTTCATTATTAGTTGATCCCGGGCTGAATTTGGGTCGCGAGACTAGGCGGTGTTTCGCCACACTTACGGTAACGGTCCGGATTCTGATTTAACCTTTGAACTGAAAGGAATTTTCGAAAATTTTTGCTTGATTTTGCTCTTGTAAATCGTAGAAGATAGCAGGAAGATTTAATGAAGCAGTAAAGGAACCAACCATTTTTCCAGCACCTTTAGCGATGGATCATATCCAAAGAAGAATCGACAATCATTTGTCTTGTACTGCTTTCTAATCTTCCGTCACTTTCTCACCGCCATAAATTTGCCTCCCTGTGTCTTTTCTTTATAAATACTTTCATGGCAACTGTTAAAATCCAAAGAAGAATTAGCAATATTATTGGTTCTGACCTTGCGTCTCAGCTTCAGTCACATTCCCACATTCATATTAGTCATTTATACTTACTATAAGTAAATATTGGAAGTTTGTATTTGAATCTAGATGCATTGCTCTGGTTCTGAAGAGTCAAATAATTCTAATTTATATTGTATTCTATAACAATTTATCTGCTCGTTAACCATTTCTTAAGGAAAAGAGATTAGACTTTTACATAGTTCTGGGTATGACAATAACCTACATCCGACAGCAAGACTTATTAATCACTGTTGTTCCCAGGTCCATCCTGGCCTGGGAGGTAGCACTTGTTAGGGTCCCGGCTATGAGAAAATAGTGAACTCCACGCAAAAACAAGGAGGCACGCTGGAGTAATGGATAGCGGCTTGGATTGAGGAATCGGAGAGCCGAGATCGAATTCCAGTCGAATCCATTACCTTCACTTACGTGCTAATACCCTTGAGAAAGGTGCGAATCCTCTTCTTCTCCTTCCAGCTATGGGTAAATAGCAGGACAGACTGGCTTCTATAGCCTTGGATGGCAACTGGTCTAGGAGAAGTCTGAATTCAAAACCTGCGGAGGGTCGTTTGGGGACTTTGTGGCACGTAGTGCACCAGGTCTCTGTAATCGGCCCTTCAAAAAGTGTGGATGGTCCTGCACGAAACCTTCACCACTATAATCAAATCTCATGTGCTATACATGCGGGTTGGGGACCGCTTGTGAATTCCAAATTCCCATGAAACTCCAATATTGGAGCCGGCTTAACCCACCCCAGCTGAATTCCGTTGCAAGAACAAGAGAGAGAAAAACAAAACACTA